CAAATGATAACTGCCTAACTGGACACGATGATAGCGTAATAGACACCATGTAGGTGGTACAGGTACAAAACACATCGCGTCAGTGTTAAGTTTTTAGGTTTGAAATTTCCCTAATTGAAAATGCAACGTACGTGATCACAACGCTCGCGATTGGTTCTAATGCGTGTGGACAATTGAATGCGGTGTCAAATATTTTAAGTGCATTATAAACTTTTTACCCCTAACTGTAACTTTTTTAACTTTCGTACTGCAACTTAATTTTTTCCTGTACAAACCGGCTTTACAGTAAACAAAAAAAAAGTGAACATTAGTCCAACTGATTCTGGTTCTTTACCAAATGAAGTGATAGTGTGACCAACATAGTGCCCAGACTCCTTGTACCCTTGAGACCCCGGTGACCCAGAGGCAGAGTTTCTTCCAGGCGTCTCTTCGAAAAAATTTTATCGCCCCCCCCCCCCCCCGAACGAAATGAAATTTATATAATTTATATAGAAAATATATACTTTTAACGGTGTCCGCCCCCCCCCCGAAAATTTCAAGTGCCCCTTCCACCACCCCCCCCCCCCCCGGAGAAAAAAGTCTGGAAGAAACACTGCCCAGAGGGCGTCCTATAGAAACAGGTCCGAGCTACGAACTCACTTGGGTTTGCAGTCAAGCGCGCTACAGTCCGTTCATTCAACCCATACATAAAAATAAATCAAATACATTAAATTAAGTAGGAAATTTCATGAGCGACAGAGGCGTATCCAGGTTTTCGTTGTAGGGGGAGCGAAAAAAGCAAAAAAAGGCGCCGAATTTTTAACACGTTCTATTTACATGTATTATATATATATATATATATATATATATATATATATATATATATATATATATATATATATATATATATATATAAAGCTCATTTCTGTAACGTGTGGCAAACAAAAAGTTTGTCGTTGACAGTTCTATGGATTTAAGTGTTAGATTTTTTATCGTGCTCACAGTCTAAATGTACGAGTCAAAAAATTACCATTGAAAGTCTTTAAAAACAATTTTCATTCTATTTACTTAGAAGAATAATTTTCAATTATGAACGCGACATAAAATTTTTAAAAAGTGTATCGACGTTTATAAAATTTCTAAAATTGTGTCGGAAATGTATTGACTGCACAGTTACTTCCCTTTAATAAAAAAAAATTCTTAAAAAGAAAGAATTTACATTTTATTACTTTGTTTTTGGTGTTAAGAAATAAAAAAAAAAATTACATAATTAGCGGGGATTGATTAAGTGCAATGTCGTTAGGTATTTTTAACACTGCCTTTTATTTATTCTATAATACTGTTCAATAATTTTTTTTTTTTAAATCAATAACATTTAATAAGCCAGGTCCTACAAATCATATATGTTTATTTCTTTCCATTTACGGATAAGCTTGGAGTATTATCATTTTTGTTCACTAAATTGAAACAGGCGCGTCCGCCGGCGCCCTTGCACGGTTCGATTTGGCACCCTGGGCTATCATGTGAGCGCTATGCTGCATAATTTTGTTTTTAACAGTGCGATAGACTATGGGTAAGAAAGGTTACTATAGTCTTTAAGTGAATCAAATCCGGGCGTCCTCCGGCACCCCGACAGGGTGCTATTTGGCGCCCCGGGCCTTCCGGTGTACGCTATGGTATCTACGTTCGCGTGAGTTCAAAAGACTATGAATAAGTTATGTACTATAGTCGTTTACTAAGTTCAATCAGGCGGTGACGTCATGGTGCGTCCTCTGGCGCCCAGACAGGGTGCTATTTGGGGTCCCGGGCCTCCCGTGTTCGGTTTCGCGCCTACGTTCATTAAAGTGAGTGCAAAAGACTATGAATAAGTTGGGGTACTATAGTCGTTTATTAAGCTGAAACAGGAGATTCTGCCCCGGGCTAGACTCTGAGCACTGTGCGTTTATGTTCGCGTTAGTGTTTTCTTTGTGTTTAGGTTGGGTTTGCGTTAGTGGTTGCGTTTTGATTTGGTTCGTTTTTGTTCTTTCTTTTTTCGTTTTCGTTTGTGTTTTATTTTCATTGGGTTTGTGTTTGTATTTGTGTTTGAGGTTGGTTTTGCGTTTGGATTTGGTTTGTTTTCGTTTGTTTTTTTCTTTTGTGTTTTTTTCTTTGGGTTTGTGGTTGGTTTTGCGTTTGGATTTGGTTTGTTTTCGTTTGCTTTTTTCTTTGTGTTCGTATTGGTGTTTGTGGTTGTGGTTGGTTTGTTGTAAGTTTTTGTTTTCGTTTGTATTTGTAATTGTGTTAGCGTTATGTTTGCGTTTTGTTGTTTTGGTTTTGGTTGGTTGTGGTTTGGGTGGGCAATGCCGGGTTTATGATGATTACTAAACACACAGGTGATGGTCTTTAACAGAAAGGTTTTTCACAGAAGCCAGAGCAGGGCCTGGCCGGGACGGCTAGTATATATATATATATATATATATATATATATATATATATATATATATATATATATATATATATATATATATATATATATAATTACTAGCTGTATGTCATTACTTCGCTATGATGTAAAATAAATTGAAAGTAGCACTCTGAAGAAATAAGAAAAAACACAATGTAGGCCGACAAAACAAAAATTGTATCAATCTAAACAAAAAAAAATATACACACACTACAACCAAAAACAATGAACGTAACACAATCTGTTTTGTAATTCTTGTAAAAAAAATTTCTTACATAATAATTCCTGGAAAATTATTTAAGACAAGTGAAATAGGGGAAATAATCACTCTCTTAATATAAATATGTATATATCTACACATTTAATTATAAATGTCAACACAAATAAATAATTACTTTAGAATATAATGAAATTGTTTAACACTATTCGTGTAAACAAAATGTTTTTGTCTATAATCAATATTTAATATATAGTCATCATAAATGCTAAAGTATTACAGCATAATGAAAGTTTTTAAAATCAGAGTTAGTATAAAACCACGCTTTTCGATAGAATGGAAAACATGCGGAATAACAGTCTACACTTAACTCATTAGCGGTCATTTAGTTCAGATCATATATTTTTAATTAACTACTGCTTCTTTGTGTTCTTAAGGATCATTTTAACATAGTGATAGGTATGGGTTAGATCACTGTATTGATCACACACTTTTTTTACTGGTAATTGCAAAAACAATATTCACAGAGTTTTACATTTAAAAAGCTAGTTTTCTGGCGGCATGGTACTTTGGTACATCATTACGCGTTTTTCTACATGTACTTAACAGATCAGTTTGGGGTGGGTTGGGGGGGGGGGTTCAACTTCATTCACCACTGTCCGATCACTTTAGGTCAATTATCCAACCCAGCGTATACCTAGGTGTGACATTAATGTCGCTCTACACAATTGTGGTGGTGAGGTGTGTGGGGGGGGGGGGATAACCAACTCAGAGTGAACATAGCGTCAGTTTTTAGATGACTGTTCTAAACATACATATATATATATATTACACAAATATATATTACAGAAATAGATTTAAATAAGTAGCAGTGGTATTATGACAATATTTTTTTTACAGAGGGGTCCATGGGGGAGGGGGTTGTAACTGTTTCATATAATTTGTAATCGTAATCACTATCGCCCAAACTGTTATACTACTAATTCATCGTGAGACGTTGAAGACCTTGTCAAAATTTCCCCACCACTACGCACTTTGCTCATAAGTAAATTTAAATAGAGGTGCCACGTCAGTTGTATTTGTTTCTGTATTGTAATTTTTTTTAAATTAATCACACGATTCAAACTGTATATATAAAGTAATTATGTGTGAAGTTTTATGTATAACATTTTCTAATTCAATTATTCGTAAGCAAATACATTATACAGTTACCTTAAACTTAACACCGCTCTTACCAAGTGGTACTACCGGTAGAGGTTTTTTAAACATTGCAATGCATCGTAATTGTTATTTTTAGAATGGCAAACTGATGCAGCTGTTAATACGTATTGTAAACGTAGACACTACTAGACTAGTACAAAAATGCTTGATTGCTGAAGGAGAAGAAATCTTGTGATTTACGTAGATGTGCCGACCAAAAATATTTTTTAACAAATATTGTTTAAAACTTTGACTTTAAAAAGTTTCCAAAATGGCGCCACTTTGCTGAAAATGGCCAGAGGGGGAGCGGCCGCTCCCCCTGCTCCCCCCCTGCGTACGCTACTGATGAGCGACCAATGTTTTAGTAAAAAAGCACATTTTTTCTTGTTTAATTTATTTTATTTTCTGGTTTTTAAATTATTTTTGTTTAATTCCCTTTTGTTTTTTATTTTAGTAATTTTTTAATTAAGATTTAATCAGACATCTAATGTATAGTAAGATACAAAATTAAATATATTCTTGCAATTTCATCAGAGAAAATTGTAAACATAACAACTCGTAATTATATTATATATTTCTAATTAACCATAAAGCATAATACACGTAATAAGCTATTTTTTAAAAAAAATTATAATGATATTTGTTTTCAGTCAAACTTTTAATGGCTTTTGCTTTCATAACATTTAGCTTTATCAAGTGCAAACTGTACATTTGAGAGTGCAGCCTTCGCTACTTGCCCAAAGCATTTGCTAAACATTAGAATCATATATATCCATGCCGATACAATATACATTGATTTAATGAAACTCCTAATAAAGGCACATGCTCTACATTCTTATCTTACACATCTGAATCCTATATTGGTTTTTTGCATTTTATTGTAAAATCTTTCTATCTCATTAATAAAATAAATATAAAATATAAAGTAAAATATAAAAAAATATGAAATAAAATATAAAATAAAATATAAAATAAGATATAAAATAAAATAAAATATAAAATAAAATATAAAATAAAATATGAAATAAAATATAAAATAAAATATAAAATAAAATAAAATATAAAATAAATATAAAATAAAATAAAATAAAATAAATAAACACCCTTCATTAGTTAGCAATTTAAAACTCACGATAAAACACGAACATATTACGAACTTACAATTTGCAACGTTGGTTCTGTGTAAATTTACTGCAATCAATCAACGGTCGCCTCTGAGAGTAGCTAGGTGTGGCCAAACGAATGTTTTATAGAATATCACAGACAACCTAGGAGGCTGGGCGTGTTGGATCCTCATCCAATAGAAATGTCTCATTAATCCATTAACGAATAAACCGATCGCTACACTGTAAGACACGTACACTGTAGGCGTATCATGGCTGTTAGATATATTTTTTGGTAAACCTATCAAAAAAAGAATAAATGTATGTTAACTTTACAAGTATTTGCTATACCATATTCTTAAAGTGGACTATTAATTGGATGTTATAGGTTGGGGGTCATCCATAAATGATGTCACTCTTTTTTTGACGATTTTTACCTCCCCCCTCCCCTCCGTCACACGTCATCAAAAAAAAGCCAGACCCCCCCCCTAAAATGACGTCACACCTCAGCCTACAACCCCCCCCCTCAAAATTGAAGTTGAATTTTTTAAAACAGCTATACTTTTCCAAAATCTTGTCTGAACTCTGTCAAAATAGAGTATTTTAATCCATTTTTATTAAAATTTGTTAAAACAGTTTTCGAAAACGCAAAATAACGTCTAAAAATCGTTTTCTAACATTGCTTTTCTATAATGCAAAAGTGTGACGTCGCACCATCTAAGCCTCCCCCTCATCACACACCGTCACAAACTTGCAGACCCCCCTCCCCCTACAAGTTTGACGTCATTTATGAACGACCCCTTGGTGGTAAATGATAGTATTGTATAAAATGGTAGTTTGAGGATAACGTTATTCATAGTTCAAGTTTTAAACAACCGAAAATGTATGTGTTTGGAGTGGAGACTTGGAGGACAAAAAGGTGACCATTGACAAAGTTCAGACATAAACATACACATAAGCATAAGCATAAACATAAGCATAAGCATTAACATAAGCATAAGCATAAGCAAAAGCATGAGCATGAGCATGAGCATGAGCATGAGCATGAGCATGAGCATGAGCATGAGCAAGAGCATGAGCATGAGCACGAGCACGAGCACGAGCACGAGCACGAGCATGAGCACGAGCATGAGCATGAGCATGAGCATGAGCATGAGCATGAGCATGAGCATGAGCATGAGCATGAGCATGAGCATGAGAATGAGCATGAGCATGAGCATGAGCATGAGCATGAGCAAGAGCATGGGCATGAGCACGAGCACGAGCACGAGCACGAGCACGAGCACATGCACGAGCACGAGCACGAGCACGCACGAGCATGAGCATGAGCATGAGCATGAGCATGAGCATGAGCATGAGCATGAGCATGAGCATGAGCATGAGCATGAGCATGAGTATGAGCATGAGCATGAGCATGAGCATGGGCATGGGCATGGGCATGGGCATGGGCATGGGCATGGGCATGTGCATGAGCATGAGCATGAGCATGAGCATGAGCATGAGCATGAGCATGAGCATGAGCATGAGCATGAGCATGAGCATGAGCATGAGCATGAGCATGAGCAGGAGCAGGAGCAGGAGCATGAGCATGAGCATGAGCATGAGCATGAGCATGAGCATGAGCATGAGCTTGAGCTTGAGCTTGAGCTTAAACAGATCCGTATACTGTGTCTTAAACCTTAAAACCGCTATGGTGTTTTACGTGTGCGTGTGTGAGCATGCGATTGTGTTCACAATTCATTTCATTATGAATTTTTAAATCATCGTAAGTTCTTAAGGGATTAAATTAGTAAACTTTTAAATTCTTTGTTTATTACCCACATACCAGTGCATGGGATTAATACAGGCCTTAATTGTTTGTAGCAACGTGCTATCATCCACTGTTTTCAGTGGTTATCGACCAGGCCAACCGTTTTATTAAAAATTCCTACCACTTCCACAGACAATTGGTAAAACTAGTTCAAGTATTTGTTAATACAATAACTAATAGTTCAAAACATGCGGTAGAAATTTTGTTATGGCGTGCGGCGTCAAATGGCCAATGAAAAAACGGCCCAATCTAAACGACTTTTTCAAAACGGCTCCGACATAAAAGCCACGCCCAATCGACCGAGTCAAAATGCCCATCGACAAATGAACCCCGTAATATAAGCTTCAGATAAATAGGCTCCTGTCATTTTGGCTCCGGACAAAAAAGCCCCTGTCTATACGGTTTCCGTAGGGATTAAGTCTTCCGGCGAAACGTCGTTTTTGAATATGACAAAAGCCCGTGGGATCCATTCATCAATAATCATATCGTATGCATCTCATGTTCAGCAGCCCTTAATTGCATATTTTATCTAGTATCAGAAAGAGTGCTTTTTTTATTTAAAGTCATCTGTGAGTCGGTTGTGGGCTACTCCAACTCAGTGTGCGGGAAGAGAGAGGTCCACGTTGTACATTACTACCTGCAGGATGCCTGTAAGCTAGCAAAAGAAAATGTTGTTTTCCTGTAAACATTATGAATATGAACAGATCTTTACAGGTGTAGATTAAACATTATCAAATGTAAGGTTTTTTTAACTTTAGCTGTTAAGGGCTCGATTTGTTTGTGAATTGCTGTTGATTCATTAAAAAAATATCATTTATGAATTTAAAAGAGGTATTATGGTAGTAGAGTTAGGACAAAATGGTTACTATTATGCCAGTAGTGGTCATATGATTTATATGTCTATAGCCAATAAGTCGGGAGTCATTTTCTCGGGAGACAAAATGGCGGGAGCCCCTTTATCGGCAGAAATTATGCCAAAATGACGGGGCGGTTTTAACGGGCCGTTTTGTTCTGGGCCGTTTTGTTTTGGGCCGTTTTGACGGCGCACCGGGTTATGTCTAAGGTTGGGTTTAGGTTAAAGTGAATTTTTAGATGTAAGAGTAAAGAAGTTGATATTTTCTCCACCTAACTCATAGTGAAACCCATCAATGTTGTTTCAGCGACAGTGTCCCTTCTTGTGGTGTTTCTGGGTTGACTTCTTCTGCACCTCAATTTCTGCCTGGTGATATTGGTTGGCGGTGTGCACATTGTGTGCCTTATCAAACTCCATCTTCTTCTCCCAATTTCTAATTCAGCGTCAAGTTGACCTGACGTTTCCCATAAGTAAACGTTGGTGATGGAATCTGGCCATCGCATCCCAAGAATTCGTCTATAACAGCTGTTTACAAATGCCTTACTTTATCAATGGTCGCCTTTTGTCGTCCAAGTCTCCGCTCCATACACCTACAATGGTTTTACGCTCGAGTTCAACAGACACCCCTTGGTGGTCAAGAAAACTCATGAAACTCCAGATATTCTTTAGCTGTGTTAAAGCTGCTCTTGTTTTACCTATCTTTGTTTAACACCTGTCTCTTTCCTCCCCGGTGGTATATAATAGGGTGTTGCAGTAATATTTTGCTATATAACATGCTATTTTTCAAAAAATTATATAAATTAATTGGCAAGCGCTAAAATTATGTTTTAGCTGTCAAAAATTAAAACAAAATATTAAGTATCGATTTTTACGTGTTTTGAATTTTTTAATTCAAGGTAAACTATTGAAAATAATGTTTGAATTAATTAATAGTATTAATTCATTAATCCATTCAAAGTTTTGGAAAAACTTCCGCCTGGGAGAGATAAAATTTTTCAAACTAAATGAATTTTTGTGATCGTGATTCCAATTGATAAAAAAAACATGGCGGCTGCTTGTTTCTTGACTTCGCTTCAAGATTTTAAACTCATCATGAACTCCCAATATGCAACAAATATACAAAATTTCAAGTCTATTGTGTACGTACGGTTGGGAAGTAATGTATTTGCATTCAATTCTGACAGAAAAGTTTTGTGGCGGTAAGTAAATTAATTATTTTTAAAAGTTAAATGTAAGACCTAGCAAGCCTAACCCCAGGGGACATTACTCCTACTAACGATTTGGTAAACAGTAAACAAACGCTCATCAAGTTCGACTTTACATTTTACTTCAGCATATTGCAACTAGTCTAGATCTACTAATCTAGATATCTAATAGTAATTAGTAATAGATCTAGATCTCAATCTACCTGATCCTAAATCTGTTCTTTATACTTCCTTAACTAGATTCTAGATCTATACTGATCCCTCTAAATAAAAAATGACAGGGATTAGATTTAGTTGTGTGTTTGTTTGTAGAGATCTGATTGTAAGTACTTAGTAAATAGTATTACTATTTACTAGTAAGTACTACTAAGTAGGCTACTTCTAAGTAGTGACTACGACTAGTCTAAGTGCAGACTGTAGACTACTGAGGATGTTAGTGTAGTTCAGTTGAGCATAGTTACTGAAGTAGAGAGTGAATGCAACATTGTGAGTGTAATAAATTAAAATATTAATAATATTAAAAAAAAATTAGGTAGGCCCCCTATAGGACCTAATGATAATTATTAATTAATAACGAAGTGACTAGTCGGAATAAGATTTTTCTATAATTCTAGATCCAGTGAGTAGGTCTCTGAGTCTATATATTTTTTTTCTAGATGTAGCTAGTTAACAACAGTGCTAAATCTAGTTAGTAACTTGTCTAGAGAAATTTAGATCTAGAATTATTTAGTAATTTAGTAGGCAATAATTATAAATAATATTAATAAAATTAAAATGTTGACATCTGTTGCTACTGCGAACCTATCTAGATTTGATTTAAGAAGTAGATTTAAAGTTTAGTTGACTGCTAAAGATTAAGAAAGTCTGCTACTAACTAGAGTAGTAGGCATATGCTTACTTAGAAATCTAGATGTAGGAAGTATATGTGTAAATCTAGCAAGACCCAGTTCTTTTAGTAGGCATTGAATTATGGTTATTAGATCTAGAGTTTAGATTTAGTAATAGATTTGTCAATATTGACCTGAAGTTATAGATTTAATTGCTAGTTTTAATTGCAATTTTATTTATATTTTTGATACACTTATCATGTATAAAAATGTAAACTATGATTATAAGGCAAAATTTTAAGTATACATATTGTGTGTATTTTTCAGAATACCTGAATTAAATCAGTGCAAATAGACCTGTAGTAAACACAGAAGAAAGTACCCTACACATGTTCCAGACAACCTTACCTAAG